CTGTGGGCTCTGATGCCTGAAGGGGCGTAGGCTCCCTGCGCAGGTTCTGGTCTTTAGTTAATGGAGTCATCAAGCCGAAGTCCAGCTGATTCCACCAAAAAGCCTTCGTGGGCGTGTCTCCATCCTGACCTCCTTCTGTGATCCCAGTGTGACAGGAGCTTGGAGAGGCCAGAGCCCCACCGGGATCCTCAGGTAACCACACCCAGAGGAGATATGGGTCAGATCACGACAGACAAGGCAGAAGATTCCAAAAGCTTAGGTGGGTACATCCATTGATACAGGGATCTTAAAGCGAAGCCCATCCTACCCCGGCTCGCCACCATTGCTCCCATCAGCTGCCCCAGGCCAGGATGGTCTGAGTCTCCAAGCCGTGCCCAGACCTGGCCCCTCTGCCTCCAACCTCTTCTAAGGGCTGCCTGGCCGATTCCTCCCCACCCTTCTAGGACCAGCTCCAATGTCGCCTCCAGGAAGTCTTCTCCCTCCACGCTCCCAGGCACACCCGTGCCATTTGTGACGTCACCGCCTTTCTACAAGCAGAGAAACAGTGAGCCTAGGACAGTGGTTCTCAACCGAGTTCCACGTTAGAATCCCCCGGGGTAGTTTGGTTGGGGTCCCTCTCCCCCTCTTCAGCCAGGGAGAGACACGTTGGGGCCTGAACATAGGTGGTTCTAACGTACAGAAAGGGACAGGAAAAACTGACCTACCGGAAAGGACTGGGGTTTTGGAGCCACACCCAGAGGTTTAGACCCTGCTCACCTGCCTGAGAACCGCGTCACTGGAAACCAAGCTCTCTAAGACTGTTTCATATACCGTCACCTGGGGGTGACGCTTGGGGGTCTCATATACCATGACTTGGGGGTGATACCACCCACCTGTCGGGGTCACCGTGAGGGTTAAGTGAGGGCTTCACCTTTCTTATTTCCCTGCCACCCTCATTCTTTCCCTCCTCCGCTCTCCCGACAGCCCCCCTCCTCAAAGCAAGTATTACCATCTTGGTTGGCATTCTACCCAAACTGTTACTACTTTCCCATCCATTCATTGATTTAATACATATTTACTAAGCACCTGCTTGGCAGTACCAGGCGTGGTGCTTGAGACTGGGGATAAAGCAACGAACCTGTCAGAAGAGGCACCGGCAGTTTAGCTGGAGAGATGGTCACAAAACAAGCAAACAAATGAGTAACTTCTGATGGTCAGAAGTACTCTGAATGAATGTACAGCGAGCAAGAAGAGATCCAGCAATGAGGCAAAGGGGAGCGGCACTAAAGAAGAGGTGAGTTAAGACCCTTTAGAGATCACAGCACAGGAAGATCAGGTCTGGGAAGTTCCACGGGAGTGTTTTCAGCCAGGGAGAGACACGATCTGATTTCCTCTTCTATGAACCACTCACACCGGGCTGTCACCATCTCCACACCGGGCTGTGGGCTCCTGGGGCAGAGACTGGCTGATCTCCACATCTGTACCCTCGGCGTCCAGCCTAGGCCTGGCACAGGGCAGGTGCTGAGTGACTCAGTGAATGAATCTTCTCGTCCACGTGTTACTTCCTTTCACTTCACCAAGCCACACATTCTCTCCTCTCTGGTTTCTGCCCGTCAGCATCAACTTTGCCACAAAGCTCCAGACAGATCCCAATGTTATGGAGGACAATCTTTGAAGTCTCCGAAGCCTTGACATCTGTGTGGCTGTGAAGACACGTCTGGACTGGGCTGAACCTAAACAGTTGGGATTTTGGACCCACGTGTGGGGCATAACACGGTGGAAGAAAATTAACTTCAAACTAGTGTACTGACCAGGTGACCCAGGGCAACCTCACCTCCCTGAGCCTCGGTTCTCATCTGTAAAATGGGTCCAAGATACAGTCATTTGATTTTTCCCTCTCTTCTTGTACAAGATCCAGTGCTCAGAGGAAGCTCGGATGTTTGATCAACCCAAGAAAGATTCCTCTCTACAAAGAGAACAAGGGGAATTCCCTCTTCTAAGGGTTGAACACAGCACTTCAACTGCCGTTTTAGAGATGCAGTCCATCGTAAATGTCCAATATGTCATCACAGGACTGGTCATCTTCAACTTGAACTCCACAGTGATATCTCATTTTAGGAAACTTTCTCCAAGTTATCTTTATTCCTCACTCTGGGTACAGCTGATGACCAGGTACAATTCAGCCAGGGCCCAGCCTGGACCTCCTGTTGGTCCCCAAGGACATCCTGAGATGTGTTGACAGACTCTTTGCTGTATCTGTGCCATTACCTGACCTGTAATTCTGGTAACTTTACCAAGAAGGGAAAAGAAACAAGGTGAGTTTAGCAACTTGTCCCAGGTAAAACCATGGGGACCGTGGTGATGTCCGATGGCATTCCAGCCGGTGACTCTGCTATGACACTGCCGGTCAGACGAGCACATTGTCCCTCTCTGCCTGCTTCTCCTGAGGGGTGAAAAGCTAAGGTGCTGGATGCCTTGAAGTTCAGCAGCTTGCTGGTTCCGCATCAGCAACGATTTCAGACACGTGAACTACTCGTAAATTTGCAGTCGCTGGCTGAATCCTTCCCAGTTTCGCGTCCCTAAACGTTAACGGGGGGCCTTAGTTCAAAAATGGGTATTTCAAAATGCGTTAAAATATTCCTTTTCTCCAAATCCCACTCCACCCCACCCCTCATTTTTTTGCACAAAACGTGACTTAGGAGACAAGGAAAGCTCTGCCAGGTAAGAGGATTGATACTGCTCACAGATGTGGTGTTACCTCCTACATAACAACAGTAGCTACTAACTGAACGTCTGCAACGTGCCAGGCACTTGACGTGTGCCAATTCTCCTCACCCTCACACGTTGCCTTGCCACTGTGGACATTACAAAGACAGCCAACTGCAACCATGCAGGGGAAGCATTTTGACCCAAAATCTCCCACTTAGTGGTAGTAGAAGGAGGATTCCCGCCCGGGTCTGCCAGACTCTGCCCCACTCATCAGGCCACACCAGCAACCAGTCCAAACTGACATCACCCAGAGCCTGACACCCCCTACTCTCTTCTCCCCAACCCCATCTCACAGCCCCCGACCATCTTCTCCACCTCCCAGGACACTGCCACCACCTCGCTTTGCTCCAACCTGCAGCACCCTTTCTCCCACCTCCTCTGCCTGATAGTCACACCCTCAAGACTCAAGACCTGCCCTGAGTCCCCCTCCTGCCCATCCTGTCCCTCCCCCGAAACCTCAGCTCGCAGGAGCTTTACCCTCCTCCTGCTCTCCCTCCCCCGTTCGCACGCACACTCCTGACTTGGGAGTTCACAGGCACACATATCCCTCATGGGCCCAAACAGACTGCAACGGAGAGCAGATCTAACGTTTCTCCTGCGGACCTCCCACCCCGCCCAGGCAGTGATGGATGAGTCCCCTCCCCACACGAGCCCACGCCCGGAGTGATGAACGCGGCTCGCTCAGCTCTGGCATTTAGAGCCCAGAAAGCTGACGGGCTGGTCTCTGCGAGCAGGCCCTGTTCTCCTTAGAAGCTGCTCCCCGTCACGGGGAAGGGGTATGTGAAGCCTCTCCCATGAGCCCAGGGCCGTGCCAGACACCCTCTTCATCGCGTTTAATCCTCCCAACACCCCAAGGAGAAGGGGATCCATCACCCCACTTCGTGGGTGAGGAACCTGGGTTCAGGTCAGTCCCTGCTGGAGCCGGGGTTCATATCCCTTTCTGTTGCTCAAGTGTGAGGCCGCCTCATTTCCACTGCACCACAGTGTCGGAGGGAGGGAACAGGGTGACATGTCACCCACATATGGGATTTCCGAGTGTGCGGCACACATCCACACGCAGGCTGTCCTCCTTCCAAAGACAGGGCTTACCTGTCCTTTCCACCTGTGGGCTCTCCCCTTGTCAGCCAGGGAGACGTTGCACGGTCCCCTTGCCGACTAAAATCCTTACCACCTTTGAAAAGGGCTTATGGGTGTATCTGCCCCATTCCCGGTCATTCTCAGCTGAGCCCACCCACACACCACACCCTAACCAGCCCATCTCTCTCACCCACACACTCACACACGCTGCTCTGGGCTCTCCTAGAATTGGCCTCGTCCTGATTTGCCTCCTGGTTCTCCCCACCGCAGTCTCCTGATACGGAGAACACAGCCTGCTTTTGGCTTCACCAGGACTCCCTGCTCTGGCCTCCGACACCAGCTTCCAGGAACCTCCCGGCTCACACCCCGCCCTCCCCGCACCCGCCACAGCCCTCCGCCTCTGCAGAGCCTCTCCCGGTGGAGGGAACAACCCTCAAGGCACAGAGACACCTCAGGCAAGCCTAACACTTGGTAGCTCTCATCCTTCCCTGGATCTCAGGCCACAGAGAACCCAGGTTCTCAGCAACAGAGATACCACGACCTTAACCTGACTGGTGATTCGAGTCAACTCAGCAGTGGGCCATTGGCACAGCAAATCCCAGACTTCACATGCCGGCCAAAGCCCTGCTCCGAGCTGACCTCACCACTCGCTTCTGACTTGCTCAAGTTTTTAGTAGTAACTGTGTCACATGCCGGCAGTGACTGAATAATCAACGGCCGGACGTGATTCGGCATGACATCCTCCCTTCTCTGAACTAGCAAACTCTCTCAGACCACAGGGATCCCAGGCCCGGGACAGTTACGTCATTTCTCCAGGAGGGACCAGACTTCTGAGCCCCCCCACGACCCTGAGGCCAAGGCAGAGAAGATGTCAGCTAGGCCTTGACAGTGGGTGAGGCCCGCCACACGCTGGAGCCCTTTACCTGTGGAGATGCAGCTTCCTGTCGCTTCAAGTGTCCCACTACCTGAAAGCAACAAATCTCTTCTTGTTGAAGTGATACGTTGAGCGGATTGTGACTCTACACAAACCCAGAGGAAAAAATCCACATGAATGGAAGAGGAGAAAACCAATCAAGTGTCAAGGATCTAGACCAAACCCATAGCATCTGGCTCCAGTGCTGAGGGGGGTGGGGTAGACAGAGAAACAGGCATGACAGACAATTGCAAAAAGAAGAAACAGTGCACCCACGTTTACTCCCAGTGACACGCACCACACGGGGTTTCTCACATGCAGTGACAAGTGGATTTGTAACTAAAAAGACCATTCTTCAGGGAAGGTGAAGGCAGAGGCTCTCCTGGGCTGGAAGAAACACTCCTGAGCCTTGAAGAGGGGGCGCAATCGAGCACTCGCTAACCTGGACCACGAGCTGACCACTCAGAGCCAAGGTTTACTCTTCTGTAAAGTGGAAACGGATAACCATTGCAAAAGAAGGCATACTGGGCCTTTAAGCGAATCTAGATCTGAACACCGTCACTAAATGAGTAACACTGAGTTGAACTCCCTGTGGTAGGAAAGTGGTGTCAGTACCCAAGCTCAGAAGGCTGCTGCGAAACCTGAAAGATGCGCTCATCACAGTACCGACACACAGGGGGTGTCCGGTAACGGAAAACGTCTATGAAGACGCGTGCTTCCTACACTGCCCGACACGGTGCCGGGCACCTCGTACGCTGCACCTTGTCATATTTGACTTGTCTACCCGTCAACATTTTTATAGACATGTTTTTATACATAAATATGAGCACAGGAAAACTCCTGGAAGGTTACATGCAGAAGTGCTAATAGTGATTATCTCCTGGCGCTAGGAATAAAATTCTTTTTGCTTACCTGGTTTTTCCAAAGTTTTCTACGAACATCACTTACTGAGGTGTATTTTGGTTTGGGTTTTTTTTTCCCCCCTAATGCCTAAATACATTAAAATACAATGAAAATCAACACACTGCCCACAGGTAACTACCCCCTACAGGAGCCACTTCTTTCGGAGGTAAGAGCTAATAAGAGCTTTGCTTTCCCTGAGGAGCTGGCACGCGCTTATCTGAATAAGAATTAGCTGACTTACCCCCTTTTCACTTTGCCAGCAGGGAGTACAGAGCCAGAATTTTAGTTCAGTCATCCAATTAGGTCTTTATTCTTGCATATTTCTAATTTTAATTCCTCCAGTCTTGACTTTCTATTTGAACGTATATGTCTTATCCTGATTTGACATTTGTTTGTTTTTTTTACTACTTTTCTCAATGTTTATTATAAATTTGTTGCCTACAGATCCTTTGCAGAACGAAGCCGGGAATACATACACATGAACAACTGATGACTTAAAGTCATCCAAGTGCCACTGTCCGTGCATTTCATGCTCCACTGACACGAGTTCTCGGTTAGGACACTGAATGACAGGATCCTAACCTTTAAATTCTATTTGAAATTTTTTTTAAAGGTAGAACTGCATCTTCCTATAATAACATAAGAAAATAATACCACCACCGTAATTTTTAAAGTCGTAGAAGTCCCATAATTAAAGTCAGTTTTATGAAATGCTCAGTTCTCAAAATTACATCTATTTTTTTTATTATTAAAAAAATCTCCATCCCCACCCCACCCATCCCCACAGGTGCGGTCCAAGCAGAAGCAAGGCCAGCAAAGCCCACCCTACGCCCAAAAGCAGCCAGACAGGGGGCCCCCAGGGGACAAGGTGCGCAGTGTCATCACCGCAGAGCCCTCGGGCAGGGGGCAAGGCGCGAGCACAACGGCTAACACAGGAAACAGGCAGGGACCCGGACGGGCCGCCTGACAAAGACCTGTGTGGTTTACACCAGTTTATAAATCCGTGGGGTGCCCACCAGCTCCAAGAGAACAGACCGAGCGGACTCCACAGCGGAAGCGCGCCAGGGCCTCCTTCGTGCGTCAGGCCCTCCTATCAGGAGTCGTTAGGGAGCCCAAACAGCTTCACAGTTCCAGCTTCCCGACTGCTGTCGTATTTCCCATCTTTGTCATCACAGGCAAACGCCAGCAGAGGCCTTTTGGGGTGCCAAGCCACGGTGAAGGTTGGGGACTCGCACTGCACCTCCCATAGCTTGTCTCCTATAAAAAATCAATGTAGAGGGACCAATCAATATGTTAACAACGAGAGACCAGACTCACTAGGCACTTACCTCCATCAGCGCATTTAATGGGCTGAGTTACCCCTTAGGACAGAAGTGCAATCACGGCCCCACCTCAGAGAACACGCGGGTGCAGAGACGCCACAGGCCAGCAGGTGGCAGAGCAGGACCAGGATGCAGGCCAGTTAACAGCTTAGCTCTGAACCTTACTCTACCCTCCCCGGAAAAACAGAACGGCAGCTGTTTGCTGAGCACCCTTATGAATCAGACGATTAACTTTATCGTAATAAAGTATAATAATAAAGTATAACAATCCAGCAAGCAAGTAACGATTTTAAACCTCATTTCATAAAGAAACACGTGACTTGGGAGGGGAGGGGACAGCTCAGTGCTCCTGGGTTCAATCCCCAGCACTGCTGCTAAATAAATAAATAGTAACAAATAAATACACTTAATTACCTCCCCCCAAAAAAGAGGGGGAAAAAAGGAACAGGTGACTTAAGAGTGAAGTCACACCTGAAGGAAGCAGCAGAGCCAGCACAGGAAGTCAGTCTGCACCCACAGCCACAGACCTTCCGACTGAGCCAAACGCCTGGCAGACAGAGTTCTTTTTCCAAAAAGTTTATTCCTCCTACTTGTTGAAAGTAAACATGATCTTTCCAAAGCAATTTTTTTTAAGTCCTACTCAACTTAGGGTGAAGAGCAACATAGTAAAATGTTCACAGTGTGGTGATGATTTTAAAATGCAGGATATACTAAATTTATATACTTCAAACTCAACTATATGGTATGTGAATTCTATTTCAATAAAGCTATTTGAATACATGTTTATATGCATATGTTATGTGTGTGTGTATAAAGAGAGAGTTGTTTTGTTTTGTTTTGTTTTGTTTTAAGTAATTCTATCTGGGGGAAAGTTAACCACTCTTCATAATGCCAGGATCTGGCAATCTACAGCAACATGTCTGAGCAAATTTCTGTGTTACACAGACATAAAAAATGGTTTCAGAGGCTGCTTCTCCTCTTTCATTTCTTTTTAGGCCATTAACTTCATGCATGCATTGCTGCTGAGAGCAAACACTGCAATAACCCTTCTGTAATGAAGTTTGGTCCTTCATAAAATGAACAGCTTTGACTCAGCAAGACCAATTCAATGGTTTACCCCAAAGGATGACTATGTAAGTAAAAGGATCCTCATCACAACATTGTTTATCATGGTGCAAAGATTAGAAGCCATCTAAGAGTGGGGCAGCTTGGGGATATACCGGGAGAGTCAGTGGAATTCTAAGCCCCATTAAGAGTAGCAGCAGAGCTCAGCAGTCATCGCCACTGAAGAAGCTCTAACATCCTGCAGGTGAGGCAGGTGGGCCCTGGAGCAGCAGGAGCGCACCCCTGCATCACATGAACACGAGGGTTACATGAAGCTGCTGGATGGCTGGACCACACTCACCACAATGTTATCAACAGTGGCACTCTTTAAACGGTGGAATTTCAAGTTCTTTACTTTCTTCTTTGAAGTTTTCTGTATAGTTTGCATTCTTTCACTAAAGCATCATGTATTTCCAAAAACAACAAAGCTACATTAAAAAATAAACTTGAGGAAATTCTTTTGTAAAATGAATACTCACCTCCCATTTTTCTATTTTCAAGTTTTCCTTTGTTGCTGTTTAAAACAAATCACATCTACTCTGATAATTTCTTAAATTATAAAATATACATATGTATTTTTTAAGTTCACATACAAGAAAAAGGCAGGAAGAAATAAAACACAATGCAAAAAGAGGCTGTATTTAAACGGTGGGTCATTCATTCATTCTTTTCTGTATTTTAAAACTTTTGTTATAATGGAAGAATTAAAAATGAATAAAATGCAAAATATATTCTTTAATCACTTTCTTTCAGACCTGTCCTTTTCTTTCCTCCTTACTCCGTCATCACGTGACTATAATAGTCTTAAAAAATAACTTGCCCCAAGGAGACAAATTCATTCATGCTAATGCTGGTGAAGTGGTCATACACAGAGACGAAAGCGCAGGACAGGACTCCCAATGGCCAGAGGTGAGACAGAGGATTCTCGTTAAGGTAGTGAGGTTTAGTTACCTGTCTCTACTTCAGCAATGTCGATGAAATGATCTTCTGACGCCGATGCCAGCATTTTCCCATCGTGGCTAAAACTGAGGGTCCTCACAGGCCAATCCAGCCTATAACAGAGCAGACAGAGGAGCCATTAGAATAACCCAGTAAGAGGAGGGCATGATTTCGCCCACAATGAGATAAAAGTAATTTACCTAACAAGGAAAGGGCTGGCAGAGCTGCTTACCTGGAAAAGCACCGAACACACACTAACTCATCTACATCCCAGAGGCTGACCAAAGCGTCTGCACTTCCCGTGGCAAAGTACTTCCCCATGGGGTCAAACTTGATACAGATGCAGTTGGAAGGATGGGCGTTGATGGACTGCACGGGCTTCAGCTCCGGGTAGCTGAGGAACGAGACACGCGGCAATCAAACTGGGAAGAGGACTCTGGCGCTAACATGAACCAAGAGACACTGAAGAAGAAAACCAAAGTAAGGCAACAGAACAAACATCAAAGACTGTAATTCAAGGCAATTTTCCTCAAATAAAAAGATTTCAAACAATACATTGAAACAGCACACCACACACCTGAGAATGGGAACCAGACTAACCAACGTGAAGACATGTGGTAGTAAAGTTACTGGACTTTAAAGAAAATTAGATCATCAGACTTTTTGACTTTGACAGGAACACCTTACAACAAAAGAAAACGAGTAACATACTGAAGATACACAAGCAAGAAAACAGGAATCAAAATTTTTGTATCTAGCAAAACTGACTATCAATTATAAAGTAATTCAAACAATAAGCACAATACCATAAATTGTAAGTTTTATATGTACGTAAGTTATAAAACGTATGAACTCAGGGAACATTATCCCCCTGATCCCTTCCTGAGGAATCTAAACTGGAGAGTGAGCTCTGACAGTCAGAGACCAGAGACTTACCAGCCTAGGGCTGGTGATGAACATTAAACACATAGTTTCTTGGTGGGGAGGGCATAGCTCAAGTGGTAGAGCGCATGCTTGGCATGTATGAGGTCCTGGGCTCAATCCCCAGTTATGTCTTCAGTAAGTAAACTTAATTACCTCCCCCCGAAAAATTTTTTTAAATTTCTTTTAAATTAAAAAAAAAAAAAAGAGCCTGGCTCAGCTTAGAGTCAGGTTTCTTTAAAAAAAAAAAAACATAGTTTCTTGTAGAAATGATGTATGTTTAGAGGTAAGGTATAACATGTAATAGCTGTACAACCTGACAATATATAGTATTAGCTAATTTTTTTAATGGAGGAAAAATGAAGAAACCATATTCAAAAAGCAAAATTTACTATTTTAAGTCATCAGACTGGTGGTGGTGGAAGGACTGTTACTCTGAGATATCTGCATGTGTAATAGGACAGAGGTAGTAAGTAACCATGGGATATTCAAATTCTATAATCCCCTGAATCTCCAAGAACTGGAATACTCAGTTTGCAAGGAAAGAGATTTTCGCTGGAAGTTATCGGTATGAATTCACAAGTATTTTGTCTTCCAGTAAACACACATACTTCCTAGCAGCTCTGTCCACTGGGAAGGTCTAGAAACAATGATCAACCTGACAATACGGACGTTCCAAGCTCCAATATTATTTCCAAGTAAGAGGATCCAGGGATTCTCAGAGAATTTTCTGACTAAAGGTTTGAGGCAAGAAATACACAAGGTGAACTTGGGATAGCTCGTCACACCAGAGAGCAAGAAACTGAAGACTACTGGGATTATGTCAATAAAGTGACTCAGGAACCAACAGGAAGAGGGTCCCACTGGCCAAAGACAAGATGATTTGAGTTTCAATTAGGATACTGATTACAAAAGACTGAAACACACCCACCATGCTTAAACACATGAGTCCACGATGATTCTTTTAAGACAGAAACCTAGCTGAGCATCTTTGGAGGCAACGAGGAACTAACCCATTACCTGATGACAACGGGAGAGAATCAAGCACTTACCTGCCTTCTCTAAAGAACTCGATTCCTAGGTAACCAAACAGATGAGAGGAAGTGTAACTTAAATCCCAGTAAATAAGCAAGCATTTGGAATCAGCAAAACCCAAACTGCAATAAGCTCCACAGGTTAACAGACTGGTTTTTCAACAGCTAAGCTCTTGGATAAAAAAAAAGGGATGGAGGGAGACCCCATAGTTTAACAGACATACAAGACAGGTCAAACTTCTTTAAATGAGCAAAATTAGAGTATCTAGAGATGCACACTTGGTAGCTAAAGCTATAAAGAAATACTGTAAAAATCGAGAAAGTGTTTCGAAGGGGAGGGAGTTGTGATTAGGACAAAGCCCCCCTGAGGTGGCCGGGAAAGCACTAACCGACCTGGCTGGGGTGACACAGGTGTTAAGCGTGTAACAGTTAATTAAGCTATACACGTGTAATTACATGGTTTTCTACATCTTTTTTTTTCCCCTTAACGGAGGCACTGGGGATTGAACCCAGGACCTTGTGCACGCCAAACACACGTTCTACCACTGAGCTATTACCCACATCCCCATCTGTTTTATTTTCTAAAACAAAACAGGCTTACAAGCAAACAAACAAACAAACAAAACCACTACTTACAGAATAAAATTCAAGTTGCTAAGCATAGAATTTCAAGCCCAAGTAATCTGATCCCAAATTATATTTCAACTTCACCTTCCCGTTTCAGGACCTCCCTTGATACTTTATCTGCCACCACTCTCAGCAACTCTGACCTACCAACTACTCTCCAAATGAGCCGCGCGCACTCACACTTGTTCTGTCCATCGTGCAGCTCCCTTTTGCTGATTCTTAAAGTGCGACTAATCTTTCGAAGCCAAACTCAGTAGCTGCCTCCTTCAACCGCCAACTCCCACAGTCAACATGCTAGGTCTCTTTCCTTGGGATTCCACAGCAAACTCCCAGCCCCTCTGACACGCGGCCCAGCACTGCTCACCCAAGATGGCAGAAAGCACAGAAATCAGACAGACCTGAATTTCAATTCCACAACTCCATTCACTTAGAGAACCCACCTTTATTTACTGAGACCCTAACTTTGCGTAGCAGGCAGCGGACTAGGCACTAGGGCGTCAACAGCAAACAAGTTGAAGGCAGTCCCTACCCGTGTGGAATTCACAGTCTAATGGAAGATACGGGCAAGTAAGCATGCAGCCACAATGCAGAATGAGAAATGCTTCCAACAGGAAGTACATAAAATAAGCTTCTGACCTTAGAAGGGTGGGTGTGAAGATGGCTTTCTTAGAGGGGAAGTGATAGTTTTAAGCTGAGACTTTACGGGTGCGAATTAGTGTAACTCAAGGTGCGTCCAGCTCTAGCGTTCACTAGCTGACTACTGACTTAACCTCTCTGAACCCCTGGTCCTCGTCTGTGAAATGGGAACCACACCACCAACTCCCTGGGGCTTCTGTGAGGACTCAGGGAAATATAAGGTGCCTGGCTCGACGGTGCTCAAAAGAGCAACTTCATTACTACAGCTGACCCTTGAACAAGAAGGTTAGGGATGCCGACCCTCCGCACAGTCCAAAATCCACGTGTAATTTACAGCTGGCCCTCCGCATCTGCGGTTCCTCTGTACCTGCAGCTCCGCCTCCCAGACACAACCAACCACAGGTCACGCAGTATTGTAGTATTTACCACCAAAAAACATCCATATGTGTATATATGGACCTGGATGGTTGCCATCCAAGTTGTTCAAACTGTAATTTGCCCTTCAAGCTCCTTCAGGATAGACTCACATCTAATTCATCTCAGTGTCCCCCACAGCACCCAGTGCAAAGATAGGACAGTCCCCTAAGCCAGAAGTCGCTCACCTGAGTATGTTGATGCAGCCGTTGCCATTCGTCAGGAAGAACATGTTATTGTCATTGTTCCATGAGATCTCATTGACCTCAAATTTGAACTGCTCCTCCGCTTTGGAACGGTGTGTCTTGGCATCAATGAAGGTCACCACGTCGTCCTTGTTGCCCACGGCAATGGTCTGCCCGTCCGGGCTCCAGCAGATGTTAATGTTCTCCCCTGGGGACCCAGATGTAATCAGCAAGGTACAGTGTGCCCGTAATTCTCCAGGCGTTTATTTTGTTATCACAGGAAGACGAGGGCTGTCACCAGAGCTCACTCAGTGAGGTCCCCATCAATGGAAGGGAACAGCCACTTACAGATCACCACCTAGGAGCCCAGCACCTTCATCTACAAATTTCCCCCTTCAGTTCACACAACCCTTCTCTAAAGGACAATTTTTTTATCCTCATTTTCAAGATGAAGAAATGGAAGATAAGAGAGATGAGCCAAAATGTCAAAGCTATACAGTCACGGAGCCAAGATCTAGGCCCAGATTAGACACCAAGGCCTCTGACTCTCACACCAGCACCTTCCAAATGCAAGTCATTCACATGCCATTTTCACAGTCTTTGTACTATTTGTGTGACTGCTAAGCTCTTCTTCATTTAAGATTTTTCTTAAAATTGACCTTAAAAACTTTCTTACATAAATACAGCTTCATTTTAGCAATAAATTCTATGGACTAGTTCTTCTTTGTCAGTCGACATTAACATATACACACAATCGGTCTTTAATATTCATCCACATACCAACCAAATCATTCATGGATCACTAGTTGTGTACCTGGGGAAACCGCTACAACATTCCACCTCCAGGTACAAGTCTTGCCAACAAAGTCCAGTAGCCCACATTGAACAGATCAATTAAAAATTTTGTCAACTTGATTGATTCTAAAATGCATATTTTTTCATTTTATTATCTATAATGTATCTTAGAATGCATCACAACACATCTTAAAATTTTTGGTGTATCACAATTACCTGATACATAAAGCTTTATTTTTTTTCCTAATGGTGCACAAAATATTACTGCATCTTATAATCAATAACATTTTAGTCAATAAAATTTAATAGACAGCCTCAAGATTTATACGACAATACCTGGTAAAGAACAGAGTCTATAAATATACTGCACAACTTCCAGGTCATTTTCTCCCAGATCAAAACCACTTACAGCAAGATCAGTCATTCTAACCTATTAGCACTTTCCCAACTGTTTTTTTGAAACATGTGTTTCTCTCCCTGCACTAAACCATAAGGTCGTGGGAGCTGGAGATAGTCCCATTCAGCTCAGGGCCCTAGTCAAAAAAATGCCTGTTGAGTAACTCTAAGTAGCTTATCTTCCTACTGCCCTCTCTCTGAACAGTCACCTTTAGTGTTCACGGTGGCAATGCATTTCGTAGTCCTCACGTCCCAGATGCGAATGGTTTTGTCCCCAGACGCGGTGACAAACAGATCAGGGTTACTTGGATGCCAACAAAGCTGATCCACACTATCCCCATGCCCCCGATAATTGTTTTCTTTGACCTGAAACGACAGAATCCAGATGTCACTTCACCCATACGTACCTGCCTCCACATGCACCTTCTTAACCTTATTCAGAACAAGGTATTTTACAACCAACAAAAGTGTGGATAATTGAAGAGTTCAGTCCTTCCAAGCCTCTTCCCAATATCCTCCCTCCCTTCCTCCCCATCAGTCTGAACTACTCTGCGGACGAGCTCCGCATCAATGCCCTTACCATTCTGCCCTCCCTGGCCTTCCTCCTGCTTTCTGGTTTTCCACCCTACTGTGCCACCAAGGGTCCCAACCCACCTGCTCATTGCCAGGAGGCCCTATCGTTTCCAAAGAGGCCCTCCTTGTCAGCACAGGGAGCCCACCACCACCGCCCTAGTCACTCCTCACCACCACACATTTTTCCTCCCGCTCTCCCACACCCCCACCACCCTCCTCATCGCTGGTCACCATTCCTCCCCGCTCATCTTCACACCTCCCGACTGCTACACTCCCTACACACCCTCACCTGCCCTCACCCCGGTCCGCCTCTCCACCAACCCCCTCCCCGCCCCCTCGTCACCCCCACACTCCTCGTTCCCGCACCGCGCACGCCCCTCACCTCCACGCCCCTTCCTACCCCTCCCCGGTCTCACCTCCACCCGCCCCTTCGCCCCACTCTCTCCTTACCGTCACACCTCGCTTTACCACAGCCCCCTCTCCCCTGGCCTGGACCGGG